ATAATAATAATAATAATAATAATAGAGTATACAAAAGAAGTGATGCACAATGCAATTTGCTCACTACCTGCTGACCAATGCCCATCCCATCCCTGAGCAGCGACTGCCGCCCCCTGGCCAACTCCCCGCAGTTTCTATACTGAGCGTGATGCCATATGGTATGGAATAGCCCTTTGGCCAGTTTGGGTCAGCTCTCCTGGCTGTGCCCCCTCCCAGCTTCTTGCCTGCAGGACATGGGAAGCTGAGAAGTCCTTGACTAGTGTAAGCACACCTAGCAACAACTAACACATCAGTGTGTTATCAACATTATTCTCAAACTAAATCCGAAACACAGCACTATACCAGCTACTAGGGAAAAAAAAAATTAACTCTATCCCAGCCAAAACCAGGTCAAGGAGGGTTTTTTTTTTTCCCCTGATTGAGATAGGAATATAATTTCACAAAAAATCTTTTCACTGAATGCCTATAATCATGAAATATGAAGATGGAATTACCTGGCTCTGTCAAAGAATTTGCCAGTGTATGCCATTCCACATGCAGCACCGAGACCCTGACCAAGGGATCCAGTAGCCACATCAGTGAATGCTTGCCTCTGAAAATAAAAAGACAACAATTATTTTATAGTTAAAAAACACAGGAACTAAGTTTCAGTGCGAGAAGATGGTTCGACACCCATCAAAATTCAGCTTCTCAGCCCTAACAAGATAGTGCAAGTCACTCCAAGTCTTGCCCTGTTCCCCTTCTTTACCTGCAACGCATGTACCTTGATGATCAGCGTCACAAGCTAACTAGGCTCTCTGAGAGGGAATAGTACCTATCACTCAGAAATTTCTCAGCTATGCCTTGGATGGCAACAGTGAAGAACTGATGATTTTGTGTAAAAAAAGAATCCAATTGAAACAACTGGCTGGGAACGGAAAGACGAATGAGGTGACCAAACTGGATATAAACTCTTGAAATACCTCAGAGCTTCTTAAAGGATGAGAAAAGCCATGCTGGAACTTTATATAAACCTTTTTAAAATGGAAAACACTGACATACAGGACTGCAGGGGAACTTTACTACAACAATAAAGGTCATTTCTACATGCTCATTCAAATGCAGACACTGATTCAGTTGTGAAGCCATAAATATCATCAACCTTCTTGTAAGTCTTTATCTTTCCTGTACTGTAGCTGGCAACCAAGAATTGCTGCAAAATACATGCACTTCTTGTTTACAGAAAACACCATCTTATATCAAAGTTTACGAGCACTCACTGGTACTGGGTGTCCTTCTAAGATAGAATCAATTTTCCTCAAGTTCAGTAATTCTGCTTCTTGTAGAAAGCCAGCCTCTGCCCAAACAGAATATAAAATTGGTGCTGCATGACCCTAGAGAGAAACACAAATTGTAAGCAAAGCACAAGTTTCACCAAGGCAAAATTCTACAAAGCTGACAAACCCTGGAATCAGGTTCTTATGTCCACTAAAAGGTATCGAGTTATAAAACGCTTTTACAATGCAATATTCACACTGATGCATATTTCCAAGGCCCCCATGCTCCTGCTTGGAGCACCCCAGACAGATGACTACAGTTAAGACAGAAAGAATGCAGCACTCTTGAGGGCTATTTAGGATGTCCTCGAGAAAATCAACATGGAAGAAGGTATCTCTCAGCCATACAGGTCCAATTCCAAAAAAGTAGTTTTGGTATCCAAATAAAAAAACCTTGATTCAATTTGCTTAGGTACTCATTTCAAGAACTGAGCACTGCTGACTAAACCAGTAAGCAGATGGATGAGCAAGTGTTACCCCATTAGAACTTCTTCAATGCATACGTATTCAAGGTAAGATGTGGTGAGTGACAACAGGCAAAATTTTAAGCTTTATACACTCAGATCCTGGCGGCCAGGTCCAACTGGGCAACTGCAAAATAGAAGTAATCTTCCACCCATGGCGTCATTAGGAGTCAAAAAAGCATCAGAGGTTTGAAGCCATTTAGCAACTCTGGGCAGAAACCCTGATTAGAGAGAGGTAAAGCAAACAAAGAAGCAACTCTTATTGCTTTACCACCTCAGCATTAGCTGCTTGCTTCTCATCTAATTACTTATTTCAGAATGGCAATCAGAAGTGGCAACAGTTATTATCCAATGCAAGGATACACACCATCAGCCATGCAGCACTATTGTAAGCCACCACGTGGAGGAACTCCGACTCAAAGATGGAACCTGCTTCACTGGAGTACTTCATCTGCCATTTTTTACATCACTATGTTTTTCCGAAGGCTCCTCAACTGCCTTTATGTCCCGTGATCGAAATGTCCCTGTGATTTGCAAGGGTACAATGCAAAACGGGATAGAAACGCTAATGGTCGGTCCAGATTGTGGTTTTATGTGTTTTCTGAACCACAGTGGCTTCAGAAGTAGTACTGACTTTAATATCATACCGGCACAGTAGGAATGTAAACTACCCACTAACCTACCATAACTATTTTACATAACGCTCCCTGAAAAGCTGACAGTAATTAGTGCACATTGTGATGTGACTGCAAGCATAACAGCATGGCTGCATTTAACAAGTAGAGCACAAAAGCTAACTGCAACTTACTTGTTAGAAAATTGGTTAAGCCAAAATAAAACAGACGTTGATACTTCTTGATAGATTTTAGACAATAACATGTATTATTTAATATTAGAACTTAACATGGTGAAGGTAAGACTTAGAGACACATTATACAGACATTTTTAAATTATTTTTGAGTTATGCTACAACTTAACTCAACCAGCTTTTATTTGTCTTTCTGAAGTAGACAAATTCCAAGCTCTCAAATATTTCCAGTAGACTTCTGTGTAGATGAAAGCATAAGTAAGCATAAGTCAAGGAAGACAAGTCAATTTAATTTACAGACAGACAGCTCTTTACTAGCAGACTGCAACAGGACAGCATAACAGTTAATTATTTTACCTTTGAAAGAACAAACCGGTCGTTGCTGGCATTTCTGGGATCTTGCACTTTATACCTCATGGTATGGAAAAACAGCACAGACATAATCTCTGCTGCACTGCAACATGATGTAGGGTGGCTACAAGTAAAGACAGACCCAAGATTACCACTACTCATTATTGTTTGCTCAGGACCATATTTTTAAAATACCACTCCACCAGTCCCCTACTTCTCAGCATTAAAATACACAGTCTTAAGTGGTTTTGATAACCCATCCTATCTACCATTACCCCAACGCCAATTAGTTGTACTTTGAGACAAAGGGAGCCTTCTTATCTAGTTGAAGTGGATGTTAAAAGACAGACCCTGGTGACAGCTCAAGGACATATCTTTGAGAGCTCTCTGTTCTTCTTCATGCCAAGGAACACCACACTAATCGGTGACTGTGAAGCACAGGAAGCAGTATGACCCCGTGCCTGAAATCATACCCTACTGATTTACCTGACAGCAGAAATTCACACTGGTGCAGAGGAAACAAAGACAGCTTTCCACAGTACTTTAGTCATTCACTGCGCAAAGGAATTAAAAGTGTGGCATCATGACTTGTTCAGGCACCGTTGCACAGGCAGGGACTTGCAATGCAAGATTAACTTTTGCAGTAAGTTCTGCACCACTTAGAACTGTATAACATAGGTACCATTTTATTTTACCATGTCAGAGCTGATAGAACTATAATTCTGATTTCTAAAGAGGACATTAAGTACTACAATTCTTGTATTTCATCTTCTACTGAAACTGGACACAGAAATCTACTGTCTCCAGTAAACACCCAGATACACATTGTAAAATAGTAATTTGCTTAATCTTTGGCTAAGAGAGGAACCAACATTTTCTACATTTACATCTATATCAGTTTGAAATATTGAACTAGTTGGTTTACCAAACATTTATAAGTATCTGGGATAGTCTCTCCCATTGAACTATCTGGGATGACTTTTGCAACAATTTTCAACAGCAGCACAAATTTAATACTTCAACTATAACTTGCCTTAGAAACACACAGGCCCATGTCAGAACCAACTATGCCATATAGCACCAACAAGCGAATATAAAGTTACATGAAAAGAGTTATTTCCAAGTGGCAAATGTTGAGTTATTCCAAGACAAGGTATATATTTCATTGAAGTGTAATAGAAGGGCATAGAACTACTTTTATCTACCTACATTACTGTAATTTAAATAACGATCACTGTAGTTCTTATGCACCTTGAAGGGATGGCACTACTTGACTGCTTGAGTGTATCAGCCTCAGCTTTTCACTAGGGATAAAGCAAAGAGGCCTTTTAAAAAACTTTATTGAGCGTGGAAAGCAGCATTTCTCAGATTTTACTGGTATAAACAGGACCATTGTTGGCCATCAGTGGTTGCTACTGAAGTACACAAAAGCGAATGATGAACAGTAAGGTTACGGCTGCAGAAATCTGCACCAGCTTTGAAAATAACCTGCAGGCTCATCTCACCTTCTCTTCTACCAATGTTTATTTTTCATCTTTAACACCATACTCTTAAAATATTTGACCCTACTTGTAAAACAGGACAAACTTACTATGAAAGTGTCATATTTTGTTTCCCGCATGTACATTTACCATGCATGTTAGGATTAGACAACACTTTCACTAGAACTTTAACCAAACTATTCTCTTCTGGTAGTAATAAACCTTCCCTCCCAACACCCCCAACAGTGCTGTAATAAGAGAATAAAAACATGCAAAACACTAGCAAAATATGAATTACGGTTAGTGTCCATCCCTTAGTAAGTACTCACACACAGGGAACCAAAAGAATTAGCTTTAAACCATGGTTCAAACATATTAGTAAATATTTATGTATTTGAGTTAATCAATAAGCCTTACATGCTTGTTTAAAGCTTTCATTCCTTTAATTTTATTAACTTTATACTTAACCATACTTCTATGAACTCCTGGTCTTGGTAAAAAAAGTTTTAAACAACCTAAAATGGTAGCGTGTGGAAATAAAAAAAGGGTAGAAAAATTTAATAAATTACCTGAAAACTGAAGAAGAAAAAAAAAAAATCTTGTTAATGCTACAGGTTAATTAAATGACTTCCTAACAACAGAAATTACCCAAAATTTAACTACATATCGGATACCAGAAATCATTCTAAAATCAACTACACAATTTTCTTTAAATATAGCCATCTTAACTACATCTACTAGTCTTCTATTAGCTCATACTTTTATAATAAGTTCTGTTAAAAGAATTCCTTGTTAAGCCTAGCAAAGTGTATTTGGATTACTTGTACAAGGGGAGAAAAAGCCCACAGCAAGTCATCGCCACTATTCTCACACAGTCTTCCACATTTTGTTCCTGACTGATGAACAACCTAGAACTTTGTGGTGGTGGTCCAGTTAACGCTGTTCTCTGCCAGATAGCTTCTACTGAAGAACTGCCTTAACTTCAAAATACAGTCCTTTAGTAGGAAACCAAACCAAAGTACATTAGAACACTGAAATCCTGGGTCCACACAAAGAGTAAAATAATTACTCCAACGTAGGGGTTTTTTTTTTTTTCCCCATTACCCTGCATCAATTAATATTAGCTCCACCTACACGTGTCTATACATTTCAACTAAAAAGAATAGTGGAATGTTAAAATGGAATACTGAGTGAAAGACAACAGCTAAAAAATTGAAGGAGAAAATCTGCAACAAAGTGATCATACCACATGTTAGGAAACTTAACTGCCTCTTAAGAAACTCTTGCAACTTCCACTTCTAAGAATTTAACCATCTAATTCTAGGAAGCCAGGCACTGTTTCAAAACCGCAGAAATTTATCATTAGCTACAAAAGAGACCCTACCAGTTTTGATGAAAACGTCTGCACTACTTATCTAAAAGAAGAACTTCTTCCATGCCCAAAAGCAAGTATGTTCAATCTCTGCAACTAACTTAATCAAATTTTCCCTACCTAAGGCATTTTAAACACAATTTTTTTTCCAGTTCACTGAATTTTTCCACTATAGCTGGTAAAGTACGCAAAGTGGTATGTTTGAGCATCTTCAGGATCAGACTACACGATCTTTTAGCTCTTGTCCAGACAAAGGCTGTATGTACTTCCTTTAACAAAAGTTAGCACAAGTAAAGACTGCAAGAACTGGTGTGTCAGATCTACCAGGGAACCACTTGTATTGCAATACATGCCACAGTTTACAGCAATTACTTGCTTGAAAGAAGTAGGCAGGTCCTGTTTTGTTTGAAGTGCTTTTACTGCAAGTATTTCCTTCAGTTTTACAAACTACACCTTTAACAAATTTCCTTAAGAAGGTCAATGCAAGCATGACAAATTTTTTTACTGTAAGCTTCTATTTAAATTTAATTTGCATTCACATATCTTTCTACATTCTTAGTGTATACCAGCTATTTCAGCAAAGCTTACTGTCTCATTCAGGTTTCGGAAAACACATTCATAACATATAGCTGGTTTAGAAATGTATGCAATTTGCCTAACACTGCATCAGACTCTGAATACCTTTTTCTTATAGGCACATTACTACACCATCATCTTGGTAACCAAATCTTATTAATTAAGAAAATATATGACTTGTCAACAGAATCTTCTCTCCAAAGCCCATCTTTCATAATCTGCTCATTATCAGGTTGTGTAATAATTTCAGACTCTACACAACTCTACTGCTAGAATAAGCTAGAGAGATTAATGAAATGCCTTTGTGCAAGAAGTACCAAGTATTGTAGGATACATGAACTAGGAATAAAAAGCTTGAGTAAAACTACTTTTACCGTTTCTTCATCAGTATTGGGAGAATGGTTTTACCATTGAATTTTATGGACCACAGAAGAGAAGCAAAGGCTGTAGCAAGATCCTTATTCTTTAACAGCACATCAGACAAAACAGATAAATAATTTTATCTGTAGGTAAGACAACTGATACCATACATCTCTGTGGCCTGCTTGAAATACACACTGGAAGCTCAGGACTGAAGCCCGAGCCCTCCTAAATAGATCTAGCACAGTTTTTCTTACCTACAATTTCACACAGGCTTGTGTAATACTGCCTGTACATCGTAGCTTTGAAACAAATGAAGAATTAAAAGAGCAACTGCTGGGTATCCTGTACATTCTCTCTCCAGACTGGACCAAACAAGCTATGGTTTTGTAAAAACCCACTCCCTGTGGCTAGCCAAGAGGTTCCCCGTGTCCCAGCACTCCGTTTTACAGGAAGAACCAAAGCAGCATTTTCATTTGCTGTATGCAAAAGGAATGAGTAAAGTTCAGTTTCTGTATGCTTTGAGAAAGAGCCATGTGAGGTAGCCCATGCCAGACACAGGATGGGAAGTGTAAGGCAATCCAAAGAAGCAGCTTTAAAAATATTTTACACACTACTTTTCTCCACACAAACCTCAGCATCCAAAGGATTCCTTCAAATTTTTTTTTTTAAACACTACAGCCAGTTTCAAAGAGGTCCAAAGGAGGAAATTGCAACAAGATGCGATTAAAAAAAAAAAACAAACAAAAAAGGCTAGCACTCTATAAGGAAGCACTCAAATGTATTATTCAAGCAGAAAAATTGGCTTTAATTTTACATGAGTATAAAAGCGGATTGTTTGCAGAGATTTTTTTTCCATAGGTAAAGCACGATCAAAGGAAGGATAACCCTGGAATCTGCACACATCAGAGCCCACGCTAAATCCTGTCCAGAGGCCTGAATAAACTGCCCATTTGAGACCGCGGGCATTTCACAGATAATCCCACTTGGGCTCACTTGAAATTCTGTGCAGAATTAGTTCCAACTGACGGGCACGAAATGAAAAAGAAACCGCTTGCGCCTGAGGCACAAATTCTTTGGTTTTCAGTCCTGCATCAGTTTAGCATTCC